CAAGTTGCTGCGGACACACACACACACACACACACACACACACACACACACACACACACACACATACAGACAAACCCGCGACAATACGCGTTTGGTACTGCCGTCACATAACAAAAAACGCATAAAAAATGGACAGGACCGGCCCTTATTCAGTTCGATCGATTAACAAGCCAAGTTAACTCAATCAGTTACAGGAAGAATCAATTCCAAAGTACTCAAAAGTAAATCAACCGAAGCTGACGGACAAACCTGTACAAAAATATGGAAAAGAAGACGAAATGCATCGATATTACGCAACGTGAGACCATTGTTTGAAGGAGTGGGAAGGGTGAAAGTGGGGAGGACGATGAGGCCTGGCGTATGATTGGGTCGCAGCTCGACAACTCCGGACGTCGCCATGCTCATAATTAATAGCAAAATATTTTTTATGCCTTCGTCTTCCTCCTCATTCCTGGAAAGTGCACTAAGTTGCAGACTGAACGAATACTTTGGCAAACATGAAAAATCCCCTGACGTAAACTTACATTGAATGTCTGAGGATGAAATCCCGTAATGCAATATAACCGTTGGCACGAGCAAAATCTTGCAGCAAAACGTTCACAGTAAGAGCCGAGTCCTTGAGGACACACAACAAGCAAATGAACATGTCGATGCGGTCGTGGTCCGACAAGCACTCCTCCTCTTTCTCGATATTCGACAAGAATAGCGAAATACAATTCTTGGCTGTAAAGAGACAGGTTAAGCAACAGTTATTTGCACAATCCCAATACCAAATTTTGAAAACAAGCACTCCCCATCAGCTGCGCTAACCTCCGATCCACTTTTGCTGTCAGAGATCCCCGCGACAGCGGCTATGCCAAACGGTAGCGTTTCCCACATAAAAATATAAGCAGAAACAAACAGTGCAAGCAACACAGTCAAAAACAAATGCGGGAAACAGATGAGGACTCCCCGGAGAACAGAGAGTCAGTCATACCGTGAATATATTTTGTTATCGAGGATGTGAGGCACTTTGAAATAAGCGTGATGAGAAGCTGGGACGCGACTTTCCTCCACTCCCCATTCTCAGAAGGACAGGCGCACGAGGCCCCAGCAAACAGAAGGAACAAATCGTCCTTGCGAATGAGCTCTTCGCCAACACATTTGTGTTCACAAAGCTTCTTCAATACCTAAAAATGCAAATGATTAGCAGCAATCACAGAAAAGTGAAAATGAAACACTCGAGGAGGGGCCCAAAACTGCCCGGTGCAATCAGAGTTGTAAGGAATGAGAGCAAACTAAATAAAAACAAACTCACTTTCTGGAAAACATTTAGCAGCTTCTCCCGGGACGCAACGACATTCTCATCGGCTGGAGGTGGCAAATCAAAAAATAAATACAATGCCTTTACTAAAGTCGATGGCAACGCTGCTTTACACATTACTTCAATGACTTGCTGTTGCTCCCTGAAAGGTTTCTGGAATCAATCCCAACCGTAAAACACACAAAGTCTATAATGAAAACAACATTTTACAATTTCATATGCATTTTCCGCGGGAACAGCTGCACAAAACGCAAACTGTCGCGTCCGCGTGTGTGTGTGTCTGTGTTCGAGTGTGTCTTTCTCCGCACTTTTTACTCAAGAACCAGCAAAGCTGAGAAGCTAAAATTTAAAGGTTATGCCCCCGCTCACGTGCGACTCAACGAATTCAAACTCAGCTTCCGTGTATGCCCAGACGTCACGTACGGCCTCGTAAAGTTTTGGTTTGAAAATTAGCCAACTCAGGAACAAGAACAGCTAGGAGACTGAGACTTCAGGAAGACATATTCTCGAAACCTTATAAAATCGAATTCACCTCGAAATTTGTCTGGCTCTCACAAATGGGCACGTGAAAGTTGTGGCACAAAAATCGCTAACTTTGGAGCTAGAAAACTAGGATACTGGGTTTTGGAAGTGTTCTTCGTCTACGCGTGACCCAAATGTTTCAAATTCAGATTTTTCGTGCGCTTATGACATTTATCCACGCATCGGTACGTGAGTTTCTAGTTGGACAACTTAGGAATCAGACGACTTATCGTCTATTTGACATCTCAAGTGTAAAACAGTGAAAATTGTTAACAGCAAACGCTCGCTGGACGGAACTACACAAAACGCATAACCGCACTAGCTATCATGGTGCGCGCCGCTATTCATTTTTTCCTTGAAAATTTTTTGTGTATCTGTCATACTATTTGTGCAACGGTGGAGGTGATTATATTAAAACGGACGTTAAGCTCAGGTAACAGATTGCGTTCAACAATGTCCATCCGCGACAATCTGTGCTATCCGGGAGCAGAAAAGTCGAAATAGCGGAAGCGGCCAGCGAGGTGCTTTCATTTGCAGCCCGCAAACGCATCTCCTGCACAAGATGGCGACAAAGATGGCTTGTGAATGGTCCCAGCTCCTTGAACTTGTCGACGATTTCTCCCGGCGACGGATACATCACCATAACCTAGGTAAATGAATGTTCACGCTACAGTATTATTGGCACTGCTCTCCAGGACACTCAACGGCATTGAGGCCCAGTCAAACACTTATCGATGTAGGTGCCTGTCTCAGGCAATCTTCTATGTATCCTGTTATGCGTGGCACGTCTGGAACAACGCACAGGGCAGCAAACCTGCATTTACACACCTAACAAGGCAATTCTCCTCTTACGGCTTCAGCAAAACAGCGTGCCAGGCAATCGAATGACATGCCGACTTCGCCTTACAGCGCGCCCGCTCAATGCGCTAGCACTATTTCACTCGGTGCGCAAAAAAACAACTTCCTGCATCACTTCGACAGAAGGAAGAGCTGCATGATGCGCGCACTGCAAGAGGCCGAGATTTGGCGAGAAAAACGAGGCGCAGAACGGTGTGGCACTCAAACACATCGAGACCGCCCGTGCAGCTCCCCTCTCCCGCTCCCATGCAACGCCTCAAACCTTTGCGAAGAGTGGGATAATTCGGTCAAATTTTCGATCGCACTCCTTCACTCCACCCAGCGGGATCTTGCAGTATTCGCTGAACGTTTTGCGCAGATGCAACAGAGTGAGCGAACGGTCCACATCCTCCATACCAGCAACTCTGCTGAAAAAAAGAAAAAACAGTCTTCCCGACACTTCAACACCAGCAGCCTTCTGGCGGCAGTGTCCGATTTGAGCGGCGCGTGCCGCTTGGCCTTCTCGCTACGCCTCTAGTAATTCCCGGAGCAGTGGCCATCGGCGCTGAGCACACTCCACTACCTCTTATTCCTCGGACACAACAAATCACATTACGCTCGAATGAAGGTGCTGTAGCAACTCGCACGGACATGCACGAGCTCTCACTGCATTTGCAGTGCTTTGTTTATGGCATACTGCACTCTGATGCGCTGCAATTCACAGCCATGTTGCTGCTCTCACTGGCCAGATGGTCACTCCGTCTCCCTCGCTGCACAGAGCAGTAGCTGCTCATTCACTCTTCGCATTCCAGCTAACCGCTCCACTCGAGCGCTGCTCCAGACCATGACCGGCTAGTTTCTGCCTGGTGCTGGCTTAAGTGTACTGCGGTAAGGTCGCACATTCACTTCTCTCATACAGCAGCAACGAAGTGGACAAGAGAGGTTCCTTCTCTTCTCTTTAAATTCTAGCCAACACCAAACACGCACATCCGAACTTTTCCTGCAATGCCTGGGATGCTGCTCAGTGACGCCAGCATTCGGTCCCTGAAGTCCCCTTCTGAGCTCGACACCTCAGCTTACCACCTCTCCCGCCTCCTCCTTAACAGTCCCATGCAATGACCTCTTAAAAGGGTCGATAAGGGGCCGTACTGATAACCCGCAGCCTCATCCATATCCCCGGGCTACCTGCTAGCGTATGGAGCACGGGCAGTGCTGCAGCACATGATCCATCGGCGTATGCGATATGACGGCGACTGCATCTCTCGCTCCCTCTCTCGCGCGTGATCTCGGCTTCCTCATTTTCCTTCTTATTTCATGCCAGTCTGCCCGCACGTGCACAATTTCCTCCATTCCATGTATTTCGAAGGAATTTCTCGCAAAAATTCAACAACAGTTGTTCGACAGTGGCACACATGACGTAATGCAGTTCGAGTGCACTCGAGCCGGTCACGCGAGCCCCCAATGAAGCTGCAGCACGATCAGGCATCACCACCGGTAGCAGCAATCTTCACTGCCCTGGCACCGCCGCGACCGAAGCCGAGCAGCGCCGCGTTTTGCCAAACGTGAACTACCAGTGGAGGAGAGGCAGGGAAAACCAGCGCACAGCACCCAGTGCTCTCCCTCCCCGGACACTACTGTCCGGGAATATCCACAGCTTCGCTGCGGCATCGACTGGCACTCGTTTCGGATGCAGTACTGCGAATGTGTGTATGTGCGATGCAGCCCTCTCTCTGGACGTCTCGTCATATGGCTTCGCATACTCATCCGCTTATAAATAGCACATTGATCAATGAACTGGAAGCTTTTTCGGCGATGAAAGCAGCGCGCGCATCTCCGACGATCCGCAGTTTGGAGCAGATAGTCTGTCGGGGGATGGCTGCAATTCGTGCAGCGTGCCGCTGTAGAGTTCGATGTTGTTGAAATGCATCCGCACTCTCGGCCCCTGTACGTATTGTGTAGGCGCATTGCGTCGCCGGAGGCGCCTGTAAGATTGTCTACACTGATGCAGCAGGATGCCCATAAGCCGTCGACGATGCCCTGCACGCCACTCATCGCGCCCACAGTGTTTTCACGGTTTTTCGCGGGGAAAAGGTGTGGCTTTATCGTGGAGATATGGGGACCCGGGTATCGGGAGCTGATGCAGAGATTCTTAAATAGTTCAGTCGTATCAGGACTGCAGAGTGTCGCGGCCACAGCCGGTGCTCTGTTAGTGCGTTCCCTATTGTAGCTTGTTAAAAGCCATCCTTCCTGCTTTTCCCTCCTTAGCTCCGTTTTCAACTTGTGATCCTGTCACTCTGTAGCTCCGCTTTGTTACTGGTTCTGTCGTACATAAGCGAAAAGTGGAATATCCAGCTTGTTGAGCACAGTGAACCAAGGAACGACACATGGTAAATGTCAGAAAGTTGTAACACACTTCCCGTGAAGTGCTACGTTCTAGGGCCGCGTGAGTAATGTTATCAAGGCAGCGTACGCTAAAAAGAATAGCTGAGTTGGTCGGGACAAACAACAAATAGGCGGGTTTTTTTAAAGGCAAAAGATAAAAAAAAAATAGCAACGCGCATCAGACTAGCCGGTGCGATCATGCGTTTTGTGCAATTCAGCCCACCGAACGATTGTCTATTAATGAC